AAGTGGGGAACTATGACGACAAAGAGGATAAAACACCACCCCCGCAGAAGAAGATCAATGCCTACTTCAACACGGACGGTTTAGCCCCGCCCACCGATTCGCGCATTAGACGAAACTCATTATAATATGCAAAACTGTTATCCACTCACAGCAGTGGGCGTTTACTTCCAAGTCTTCAATGCTAGACGCCCATAAAAACCGAGCGTTTTTGAGCTAGGCTTAAAACTAGGGTAGAAAATAGCCTATTACTTATTCATTTTGATGTTTTTGAATGTAAAAACCAAGCGAACGTCATAAGTTGACCTCAGACAACTATATAAAAAAATTTAAAAAGCCAGTTCATGACCCCTTTAAGTATTTGCCCATTTAAATCCAAACAGCGACTTAAATCCAAGACAGTTCACTTAAAAGCAATGAATAATTTTTCAGCATTATTTTAAAAGGCTATGAATCTAAAATTGCTCTTTTCTTTTTCCCATTTTCCCTGTCAGTTGTTTCAGAGTCTCTGTTGAGTCTCAAAATTGAGTCTTATTGAGTTCTGGAGCCAGATACTAGCTTAAACCCCATTATAGCCCGCCTTTAGAAGACACTTCACACAGCAGAAACCAGCCTCTGATCCATAGAAAGACTGTTGAAAGAAAAAGATTTGGAGATATTGGGGTATAAAGAGGCTTGCAGGTCAAAGGGCTAATGCCTCCTTCCTTGATCTCGATAAGGATTTCCTTGTACAAGAGAGCTCACTTTAATGGCATTACATGGCATCCTGTGACAAGGAAATATCTTCTGTCACAAGACCAGATCAGTGAGTGGTTTAAGCCGCGTTTCCACCGCAATTGCCCGGAACAATTTGTCCCAGGAACTTTTTTCCCAGGAACTTTTTTTGCCCCAGACCGGTAGCTTTCTGCGTTTACATCGCGGTCTAAAGTACCGGGTAAACTGCGCGCGACTGCTCATTTCTTGCTTGTGACGGACAGTAGACTGTAAAAGACAGTAATCAGTTTTGAGCGCCACATTTATAATAAATATGGAAGAGATTCACACTGTGCTGCAGTTGTTTGAGATGTATTGGTTTACTAACCAGGTAATTAACAAAACGGCAGAAAAGAGACGAGCACTGATACTAAAGCGTGTTCAGAAAGCTCGTAATGCTAACGTTAGATCTAAAATTAGACAGCGTATGTTATCAGCTATTGCGGACATTGACCGTGAGAAGGCTGGGACGAACGCGCAGAAAATTTCTCTTCCGCAAATACGCTTAATAAAGCCTGAATCTCGTCGTCGGTCCAGCTGCCTTTTTTATTTTTATTAAATTCCATATTTGCAGACAGACAACTCTTACTGCATGGAACTTCATTACTGCATGAAGCCACGAACTGCAATAGATTCTAAAAATTCCGGTTAAAATAAAATGCTGCGCGGAGTTATCCAATCATAATGCGGCGTGAACACAACCAATCAGCATGTTCAGCGCACAAGCCCCACCCGCGAAAGTTCCTGAACTTTGAAAAAGTACTACCTCGCGAGCAGGGACTTTCGGAGGGGGAAATATCTACCCGGAACTTCATTTAGACCCTGGTTCCTGCGGTGTAAACACACCGAGTACCAGGCCAAAGTTCCTAGTTCCTGGGTAAAGTTCCTGCGGTGGAAACGCGGCTTTAGTGGCAGTGAGGAGGGGTGCTTATCTATTTAAAATACAAAAACGAACCGTTTTGGGACTTTCAGTGCCTATCCTTGAGGACAAGCATACGCTTCTGCAAATGAAGGACATTTGACATTTCTCGCACTGGCACGGACACATCGTTCTAATATTAGCGCTGATGAGGAGCCGATATTGTTGTGAGGGGGCCGTTGAAGAAGGTGTCTTCCCATTTTTTAATGAGTAGACGACCAGACACGACTTCAACGGCTGCTCTGATCTTGTCAAGTATCCAGTCATTATGCTCCATTTCCCAGGTGTTCAATGAGGAAAGCAGTGATATTTCAAAGGGTTGTTGGGGGGTTTTCGATGTTGTTTAGGGAGCTCATAAATATTCCCAATGGCCCAGTGAAGTACCTGCTTAGCGGCCAGCAAGCCTGTTGACATAAATTATATCTGCGCTCAGTGCGCTGGCATAAAGACCCTTGGTCTCAGAGCTGAATGAATATGTTCAAACTGTAATGACCCACCTGTGCCCACTTCAAACCTCAGACTGCAACACCGTTTTTGACTGAACACAACAGTTGTTAATAAGATGCACATTCTCAGAACGGTCCAGGAAAGATTGAAGTCAGTTCACATATCGCTTACACTGTCACCAAGGGAACAGAACGAGTGTAATTCTTTGCGAGCAACCCCATGTACCCCTGTTGTTATGGCAACTGGTGAAGCAATCAAGAAGAGGTCATTCACCCTGCAACACAGGATAGTCTCTTGCCTAACCTGAGCCCATTGAGAAAGCAGAAAGGTCAGATTTGGCCTAGTGTTTCTTAAAGGCAGCATTATGTGCGATTAGATATGACAGTATGAAATACAAGATAACTCTAATGTTAGAGCTGTTTCTGCTTTGAAAAGGTTGCCTCTGATTTTTCCTAGAAAACCTTAGAAAAGTCAAATAAATGAATTGTCTTATGCAATAAACGATATGATTGTGTGTTTTTTAGTGAATCGAACGCATACAGCTTACTATTGTGAGACTCACTGGTTGTTCATATTGCAATGTGTAGTTAAAGATGCACATTATTAGCTTTGTCGGTAGTATTTTATTATTAAAAAAAATATATATAAAAAAAATAAAGTATTTTTATAAAAAAATAAACTTTTTTTTAATAACACCCTATCTATTTCTAAATGATTGATCTTATTGTGGAGCATTCATCCATACATGTTTTATTTTTTAATTATTAATTCTTTATTTTTACATCATAATTTATAATCATAATATTACTATTACACATTACTTGTGATATCATCTTCCGTTGAAACAACAGTCGTCAACCGTCGACTTCTCCAAACGTTAAGTCTGCTTAAAGCCCGCCCCAGGAAGCTCACATTCATCTGCCTCAATTCTTTCAAAATCAAAGAAATCTTAATGGAACTATTAAGGAACCAGAAGCATTAGGGGTTTTCACACCAGATGAACATTTTCATAGTTCCTATAACTAATGGTGGAAGTACCCGCTTTTTGTCGTGTTTGCAGCGCAGGAACTGGGAACGATTTTAGTTCTAGGAACGCCTTTTGGGGAAACTAACTAGCTCCTACTTCAGAGTAGGGTCTAACCCAGCACAAAAGGATCTACCAGTGACGTAAGTGTACACTGATTGGACAAATGCATGCGAAACACTGGAACCCGCCATTTTTAAAAAGCTGTGCAAACACAGTTTACAGCCTATATATTTACTCCATGAACATGCAAATGGCGATAGATGGACCGACGACAAAGTCCAGGCACTTCTCAGCGCCGTCAAAATAAAAGTCCCGCACAACATCCAAAGAGGCAGGACATAAGGTGATGGCTTATATGACTTGAAAGTTCCAACTGGCGGTCTGAATGCAGTCAGGAAAATGGTCCTATAGGGGAACATTTAGTTCTAGGGGGACTGCTCTAGTTACTATAACTTAGTTCGGTGCAAAAGCCCCTATTTAGAGGAATCTGAGCTGGAGATTTTTTCCTGGTTTGAACCGTTATGTCATGCACAGAGACCCTTACCTTACCTCAGTCATTTTCACAAATGAGACACTGCTACTAGCACAGACGGCATTTTCCAAGGGCTGTTTTCCACTAGGATAGAGAAACTAAACGCACACGGAAGAAGATACTAGGTTTGGAGCGTAGCATGATCGAGGTCGGAGCGTGAAGCGTGTAAATGAGGCTAGCAGATGTTTTCCAGATGTGGCTGGTGGGTGCCGGAGGACCCCAGAACCAACCCTTCAACACACTGACAGCTTTGTTCACCTACTCCCTCCCTTCCTAGGCCGTGATGCTGTCTCTCAGGCCTGAGCTTTGAAGTCAGGACGCTGCACAGGAAGTAAGGGTCTGCAATCGATTTTCTTCCTGCATTAGGGCAGGAATGTATGACCCTCCCCTCCTCCTCGCTTTGTCTCTCTGTTCTGGAACTGTTCAAGATTTTGGTTGTGTGCATGATAGGGTCAGAGGCCCATGTACTGATTCTGTGTTTCTATCATGTATTGTTAGCAAAAAGATGACTGTGCTGTGGTGCATTTTTTTCACGTTCAACTAATATGTCTACCACAATGAACCTGAAAATTTAAATCATTCACCTCATGTCATTCCAAACCTGTATGATTTATTTATTTATTTATTTTTTAATCTGTAATACAAAAGAAGAAATTAAAACATTGTTAGTGATGCACCGTTTTGGATGAAACATTTTTTTAGGGCCACAATCAATGACCAATACTCGTGTTTAATTAGCGAAAAAATATTATAGCATTTGCCGTGTGGCCAATGTTGCTAGCTGAGCAGAAAAACATTTATGTTTCACTTGGTTCCTTCAAAGTTGTGTTGGATTTCCTCAGCGGTCGCCGGCCCTTCTATCGCTATCGCTGTTTTCCATGTTTATGGAGTGAATAAGGCTATAAACTGTGTGTACATGTCTAAGTAGGAGCTAATTTAGTACCCCAAAAAGGAGTTCCTATATCTAAAATCATGGGGTACTTTCATCATTATTTATATTAACTATGAAAAGGTTCCTCCGGTGCAAAATCCCCTTATGAAAGTGAATAGGGATCGTTTCTTTCAACCTCCAAAAATGACAAAAAAGGACCATAAAAGTAGTCTTTATGAAGTCTTATGAAGCCATAAAATAGCTCTGAGTGAGGAACAGATCTAAATGTTATCTACTTTTATGTTGTTTGTTGATTGTTTCATTGGAAATAAGCACCTGGTACATTCTGCTAAACATCCCTTTTGTGTTCTGCATAAGTCAAACCGGTTTGGAATGATATGAGGGTGAAAAAAATTATAACAGAACTTTTAATTTTGGTTTCCTAATTCCTCAGGATGTAAGGAGCCATGATATTGGCACAAGCAGCAGAGATCAGCACATCTCAGGTATTGACTCAGGTCCAGCTCGGACTCATAATCGACCCAAAGATGGGGAGGATGAAGAAGAAAGGTTTCCTGGTGGCATGACAGCATCTGCAGCGGAGCACTCTGGTATCCCATCAAACCTTACTAGCACTCTGGAGAACATTGTACAGCAGTTGGACATCCTGACCCAGGTGAACTGCTTTTAGGTCATCGAAGTCTGTTGAATATTGCTATTTTGTCTAGATCTACCCAGCAAATCAGCTTGTTTTTCCTAGTCAAATCTGAACTTTGTTTAAAGATAAGGTCATATTTACTATTGTTTGACCATTTTTGCGGGTAAAATCAACTCATTTCATTAGGAATCCATGCAATGGGGAATTTCGTGTGTGGTGAAAGATTTCCTCATGCAGATTTCGCAACAAATTTAAGTTGGTCATGCAAATTTGCTGTGTTGCCCAACAGAAAGTGACTTCTGTGTGAGCTGTGATTCATAAATAGCTACACTAACCCAGTCTACGAAATGTCGCTAACGTGATTGTGCCTTAAACTGTTTGTTTTCATATCTCAGACCGTTGCTGTCCTCGAGGAGCGTCTTACACTGACCGAAGACAAACTGAGGACATGCCTGGACAACCAGGTCCTGCTTTTGCAACAGACACAACAAGTGGACCGATCTGACGAGGAAACCGAAGGATCATCTGTGTGAGGGATACCCAACCCCAGTGGTCCTCACTTCAATGGTAACTTCCTCTGGCCTGCAGAGGGGGACCAAATCCCTTATTCTTTTTTCATTTTAGCTTAAAGACATCCAGCTGTGTCATTCCAAATGAGGACATTGGACTTAACAATGCAAAAATAAGGACACAAGATGAAAAGACTGAAAGCTGGATGAGGGTAGGGCAGATGGGGGATTTGAGGGATCGTACAGCAGTCTCACCCAAAAAAATGTCATGTTAAGAGGACAGCTGCAGCTAAGACAACATCCCAGTCATGGTTTCACAGCAGCGAGGGAAGAGACTGAAAGAATAGACATACATGCACAGATTTTTACTGTATCCAAAGGTTTGTGTCTGCTGCATGTGTTATGTAAATTTAGACCATTATGAATGAAGTACAGCTCAAGTCTTTGATGCGATTGTGTCCCAGGCAGCATGAATGGCTTGTGCATGTGTATGTAAGAGAGAGAGAGAGACTGAGTAAGTGTCCTCAGAGACACTCGCAGTCTTGTTTACTCTTTCTCAATCAGTCGCAGCCTTGTGGCTTTCCTCTGGCTGGAGGTCAGACGGAAGTAGGGAGCCAATCGACAGAAGGCCCAGCGGTGCTTGTTTGCTTTGTGTACCGCATCCGTCTGTGTGCAGGAGCTCTACTTAAGTCTTCACCACAGTCTTGTATAAAAACAAAGCATCCAACGGCAGTGAAAGAAATAATGTACCTGATATCTTCAACATAATGGTATATTAAACTGTATAGATATGCATATGTGTGTCTGTGTGTGTGTTTATATTAGGGCTATCAAATTAACACGTTAACACATGCGATTATTTATTTCCGTTTAACGTCATCCTTTGGCTGCGGTGCAGTATATGATCACTCTATCATTCATTCAACTGCTATTAAACCATTCAAGCGTGATAAGACTTAAAAAAGACATAATCTCACAGACTTAAATGAGTTAAATAAAATCTTAAATGGCCGTAAAGAGTTGAGGCCATGGGATATGTGTCAGATCCGCATCACGTGCTTCAGTTCTTAAAGTGACAGCAGCCTAATAAACCTGTGGCTGTGATGTCTTTCATTTATGTAAATCAAAGAACAAAAGACATAGAAAATCACTCACTGCTCATGACTGCATAACATTTGTAGCTTTAATAAGGATTAATCTCTTTTTAAATTGTGAAGTGCTTGATAACGTAATATTTTTTTTTAAATCATTTGGAGATTAACTGTGAAATTAGTACAATATAAAAATATATTAAAAACTATAATGTTAGGTGCAGAAAAATGTGATTAATTAGTTTATTTTTTAATCGATTGACGGCAGTAGTTTATATATATTCTCATAAGAATTTGTCATAAACACAACAAAAAATCCAGCATGTGACTGTTGTTGTTGCTGCAAATTCCAGCCAAACATCTCTCCAACTACTTCCTGTGCAGCACACAGTCTCGCACAGACAGCAGGTGTGCGTGTGACCTCTCTGTGCACAACACGAGTCCCTTGTCTCCGGTGGGGCCCTGAAAAAGGGCTTAGAGCAACCAACTTACGAATGAAGAACAAAGAGAAGACAATGGAAATGTACGCATGTGTGCCTGTGTAAAAGTGGTTTTGTGTGGCTGTGTCTACTCAAGCATGTGCCTGTGTGCTTATGGATTTGTGCGCATGCACGTTCTTGCTAGACCCACATATGGTAAAGTGGTTGCCTGCTCATGAGGCAAAGGAAGGTTAACATTATCCCCCCCACAGACATCAGAGGACGAGTTCTTCCTTCTGTTAGCCAGGACTGGCTGGCGTCGAATCAGAGCACTTTTAGGAAATTCCCTCTGACCTTCTACTCTATAGGGAAGAACAGATAAAGATAGAGGAATGGAAAAGAGGTCGCTCGTATTGTTTCTGCAGTGCCACCTGCACAGAATAGACCTGCTCCATTTTTTTTTTTTTTTTTTTTTTTAGATTAGGGGAACGTCTGTTGAGAGGTTTTCTTTCAACAAATATAGATGGCGGAAAGTTTAAAGATAGGTATACATCTGTTGTGGGTCGGAGATCTTTCTTGAAGTTTCTGAACTGGTAAGAGAAACCCTGGTTTGAGCCGTACAGGATGAGGGAAAACGCATTGCTGTTGGACAGTGTATTAAAACCACTGAACATTTGAAGAGCAGAACTAACTGCTGCTTCCAAGCGTTTTGATCTGTAGGGCTGAATTGGATTCACTTGTTTTAGTCTCGTCTTGTCATAAATCCATCATGCACGTATCTTAGGATCTGTGGCTCACACTATGACCTTTAAATCATATGTTCCTATTCACAGCTGTGTTTTAAAGCGTCCTCACACCTGGTTTATTGAGCGGGGTGTTTTCCAAATCCAGGTGGCTTCACCCCAGTTTTGATTATTTTTGGCTAGTACATAAACTTGTTCCAACCTCGCAGTTTTGAAATGCTTATTGTTCTCTAAAACAACATGGGGTTGTTTTTAAACCCCAGATAAAATGTAGGCATATACTTTCCCTTTTTAATAAAAAAAAATTATACATTTCATATTTTTAGTCTCCATTTTAATCAACTTTTATTTACAATAGTTGATGTATACGTATAGCATGTCACACTTCTTGATGTCATGTTTATTATTAAATATTTTCAATATTACTTACATATTTTTAATACTTTTCTGAATAATTTCTGAATAATTTGTAATATTTCTAATGATGAGTGTTATCTTTGAATATTTAAAAGGCTGTGGAGCATTTGCACTATTTTTATCACAGCTGATGGAGTCTTGTTGGCGTTTGCGAACAGTTGCATGTCTGAAAATTTGCAATGGAAATTAGGACAAAAATGATGAATGAAAAACAATCGCTTGGGTTAACACAGACTCTCAATGTGTTAAAATCTCCTTAAGAGAGGTGTTTTAAAAGGTGTGAAGGGTTAATAACCCCCCACCCAGACACTTTCCTCCTTGGCTTTTCCTCAAAACCTTAAAACAAGTCTTTCCTGCTAACCGGAAACCCCCCGTGCTCTTATCTCAAACTGTTTTTTTTTAAACCCTATGTCCTTTGAAGTCACACATTTGCACTGCCTGTAGCAAATCCTTTGACCCCAAGTGTGTTTTAGTTTTCTTTGATTGAATAACACAAGGAACCTGATGTGTTTTCAGAAGAAAGATGTCAAGTTCAAAGGACACAGGGGTGTGTTGATTACAACAGCTGCACTTAATAAAATCTTGGAACATGAAAAGAGAAAGAGAGTGTGTTTTTATTTCACAACAAAAGGAATTTTACATTAAAGTGATTATTAGTGATGTTTTTACATATTATGTCTGTCGTTTTGCTTTTTTAAACTGTTTTTACCTTGATAGGTTTTTTTATTCTGCCGGGAATGCCATTTGTGTGGGAAAACGCACCAATGTTGGTGAGATTTTACACCATTTGTCATGATTCTCCAAGCACTGATTCTGTCTCTACAATTTCCTCTCACTTCTGAAACTACCCTATATTCTTAGTTTTGCTGACATTTCACAAAGTCTAGCAAAGGGCCATTTTCCTGTAAAGTCTTACGAGCTTCCGGTTTTCATAGATATCAGTTTTTTTCTTTCTTGTGTCCATTCAGCTGGAGGAGGAAATGTGGGAACAGGCTGTCTCTGCTGCTGATAAGGACGTACAGAACTTCCCACCTTCCACATTTGGGACCGGCCCTTTAACTGGAAAGAGGTGCTACCAGGGGTCATTGCAAAAGCTAGAACATCCGTCCTGTCTCCCCACAACCGGTTTGAGAAATCTGACCTTGTCAAAACATATTTACTTTGTACAGTAGAAATGAAAAGAGGAACAGAACTGCCTGTATATAATTTTTTATTTGTATACCTATCTCATTAGTAATCCTAGGTATTCGTACATAAAATGTGGTTACAGCATGCACACTTTTGCATAGACATTTATTTATTTTATTGTTTCTTTTATTTATTCTTTCTTGAATACATTATTGGAATATTGGAAGCATTTTACTTCTTTTAGGTTTTTTTTTATGCTGGTTAAAAGTCTCCACATCCTTATAGCAATCACTAGGTTAAGTGGTCTAAATGTATTGTGTGTGTATATATATATATCTACGGTGGAAGGCGAAGGACCATAAAATGTCCGTCTAATCATTGCATTAGGTCCGAATCCAATGGTAAGATTGTCCTACCAGCCAGTCAACGCATTTCCATATCTCCGCGCACCTGCTTGCACAGACATCACTTGTCATCAGCATGTTTCATGTTTTGAGTTAGACAGACGTCAGTCACCGAGCACCGCAACCGAAACAGCAGCCACATTTTACAGTTCCTCCTAAACCAAAACAACAAGCTTATGCTGCATTCACGCCATAACTACTGCAATGTGGAACAAGAGATGGAAACCTGTAACGTTATACTCGGAGCGGTTTGTGACTCGAATTTATGCGTTTAAACGGCAACACTATCAACACCGAAATGAATCTGCAGCCGTCAGGTGGTACAGGTCAGTGCTTTTTAAGTTGTTTATGTTCATTATGAGACATGAGGTAGTTTAACGCCGTCTTATGTCTCGTGACGCTTTACAAACTCTGCTGTGTGCGTTGATGTGTTTGGAAGGAGGCGTGGCTTTGGAGACGCTTTGAAGGGAGGGGGGATCCAATGCTTACCAAGCTAACTTGCTATTGCTAGCTGCTCCGAAAATTGCCTACCCTACCTTTAAATGAGTCATTTACCTTGCCTAAATTTTAAAATGTTACACTGAATGAAATTAATTTAATTGAATTATTAATTAACCAATTAACTTTTAGTGTGTTTACTATTTGAGAGCTATAGGTAAAACAATTACAAACACATCATAAAATTGTAAACGTAATCCATTCTTAAAAATGTATTCAAAATATCAGTAACACTTTACAATGATGCTCCATTAGTTAAAGTTAATTAATGTAATTTGTTACAGTACTTATTAATATTTGTGAACATTATTTAATAAAAAAAAATACAACTGTTCATGTTAGCTCAAGTTTATTAATAATGTATTAGTAAATGTTGAGATTAATAAATGCTTTAGAAAAAAATTTGTTTACTGATGTAGTTAACTAATGTTAGCAAATTAAACTTTATTGTAAAGCGTTACCAAAATATCGTTCAAAATATAAGAGTGTAATATTATCCATATTTAGGGTATGGTTGGGGGTTAGGGGTAAAGCTGTGCATATGCAGGTACTTTTACATTTTAGATGCTGTCAATACATCCATATGTTTCAGCATATTCAGTGTAAACGTTATGTATGAATGCCTACAAATTCAAATGAGATCAGACTTGACAAATCATTAAAAAAATATATAATTTTGGGATAATTGCTGTTTTTGTGCCCATTATAAATGGCATACGTGTTAATAAATCCATTTATTTACTAAAGTAAAAAGTGTGACAACTAGCCCCGGTCTTCCCTACAAAAGTGTTATTTGTTACAAAGCCAGCATATTTTTTTAATGCTATTTAACTTTATTTAAAACAATTCTCAATTGAATCAACTGAACACTAATTGTGCCTGGCTACAGAGACATTACGTGCGTGTGCGTATGTTCTTATGTGTAAGACTGCATCACAGCATTTGTCTGTTCTAGTGTCCATGTGCCTGTCCAGTCATGTGCCACTCGAATAGCCAGACTCCATCTCCACTTCTCAGTCCTGATGGCTTTTCCTTAAGCAAGAGTTTCAGCCTATTCCCCTGATGCCTCCTGTCTGAGAGCTGGCAGGTGGAGAC